TGCATAAGTTCAATAAGAATCTGTTCTCTTTGTAACAGGACACAGATGGAATCATTGGTTATATTACCAAGGCTTTGCCTGGAATGTTGTGTTTGAAAAAGATATGAATAGACGCAGATATGACCAGACAACTTTAAGGAACTAAGGTAGACTTTGTGGACCAATAAAGCCCTTTGGGAAAACTGGCCTGGTTCCCTGCTTGAAGGGTTCCCAGCAGCCTTGTGAATAAGGAAGGTCACTTCCCGGCAGGTCCAGGAACCTCAGGATATTTTGGGGACCTCAAGAAGAGAAGAAATCACCCAAATGTACAGGTATTGCAGACCAAGTGTGATGATGAGTCTTGGCTTGGTTTCTTATCCTCTAGAGTCTTTTAAAAGCTCAATTTGAGATGCTTTAGGTAAGTCCCAGCAAAGCAGACTTAAAAGAGTCCATATGGTGGGTCACTATTCTTAGTGCACATATGTAAATGACCAGGCCAAGTTTAATGAGATGAACTTACTTTACAAACAAGTTAGTCTTGTTTTTACTATCTCTTATAGAAATGGGGGTGATTGTAGAGAGAAAAACTATGTTTCAGTAATATATCTTTGTGGATATCAGATTCTAGTCCTGTTCACTGTCTTTGAGGTTTATTTTCTACTTGTAAACTGGACTGAAGACTGAATTCTTGTTTCCTCCAATATCCAGCTACAATTATCTAAATGAATGTTTCCAATTTTTGTCCCATCCTTTGACTTGGAATCATTGAGATCCAAAACTGCCCTTTGCCTGAGCCATGCAATCCAAAGAGGGACAACTTGATAAAAACTCAGAGAAATCACCACCACAGCTGTGTATGGACCATCTTTGTGCTGGTGGCTGTGTGGGCCACTCAGAAAGATCAGCAGAGACATTCAAACTCCAAAATGGTAAAATCTATTAGATTGCTGTTGTCTACCATCACTCCATGGGAAGATGCTTTGAGCTTGACATCTAGACATTGTCTCATCTGGCTGCCTTCAGAACTCAGAAACTGGGATTATAATCTATTTGAATCATTAATAGTTTTTTTGCTTGTTTCTGTAGGATTGCCTCTCATTAAGTAACCTGATATAAATTCTTGCATCATGCAGATCTAACTTGGGGAACTCACGTGCATCCCCACCACCTGAAATGAGACACAACCTTTATGTGAACTGACCTATTCTCAGGACTAAGAGACTGATTTGATGAGATATGGAACAATCTACCAACTCAGGACAGGTTCATACCTACTTACACTAGATGGCTCAAGATGTGGAAATATTTCATAATATTACCCAAATCCTTGAAAGGATTCCCAGGGTTGGCTCCCAAGATCACTGACCTATTTTCACAGCTGGACCCTTTCAAGTTTGTGACAATGGCCACGGATTGGATGTC